TACTGAGCCTCATTTTGACTTGTTTTAAGGACATTACATCAAAGTTGGATCAGCCTGTAGTGTGTTTTTCCACTTTAGTTTTGAGTGTGACTCCAAATCCAGACCTCCATGGGTTGAAAAATTTGATTTCCATTTTTTTATTTTTGTGTGATTTTGTTGTCAGCACATTCAACTATGTAAAGAACAAAGTATTTTAGAAGAATATTTAACTCATTCACATCTAGGGTGTGTTATTTTTGTGTTCCCTTTATTTTTTTGAGCTGTGTATATATATATATATATATATATATATATACACAGAAAAACACTTCCAACAAAAAAAAAAATCTGTTAATATCGCACTCAATTGCATATAATATGCATCAAAAGGAATCAATATATAGATATGCAAAAATTCATTTATTATACATTTAATACACCAAATTTGTGAAAGAGAAAAAAAGACCACTATTGCCAAATATACCGACAAAATTCTATGATGGGTTGAAAAATTTGATTTCCATTTTTTTATTTTTGTGTGATTTTGTTGTCAGCACATTCAACTATGTAAAGAACAAAGTATTTTAGAAGAATATTTAACTCATTCACATCTAGGGTGTGTTATTTTTGTGTTCCCTTTATTTTTTTGAGCTGTGTATATATATATATATATATATATATATATACACAGAAAAACACTTCCAACAAAAAAAAAAATCTGTTAATATCGCACTCAATTGCATATAATATGCATCAAAAGGAATCAATATATAGATATGCAAAAATTCATTTATTATACATTTAATACACCAAATTTGTGAAAGAGAAAAAAAGACCACTATTGCCAAATATACCGACAAAATTCTATGATATATAGATATAATTTTTTTTACAACTATATACAGTCTGTGGATATAATATAGATGAAACTGAACGTTCATATATAATCTGGTGGATCCACCACTAATTAACCAATTCGTAAACTGATCAAACAAAAAAATTATTGAAAAAAAAAAAAAGGGGGAAAAAAGAAAAAATGCAAAATTGAAAAAATAAGTAACATACTGAAAAGTTAAAACAAAAATACAAAAATAAGCTGCTTATTGGAGGAAGTTGGTTTGATCTCACCACAGATATGGAATGCAGAGTAAAGTCTGTTCACTTGTGGGTAGGTATCCACAGGGCTGCCACCAGAAATTTTGGGGCCCCTAACTCAGCTCAGGGTCTGGGCCCCCTGGGGCCCGCCTCCAAATACCGCCCACTGGGTCCGCCTCCAAATACCGCCCACAGGAATACACACACAGACTGACATACATGCAAATATACAGACATACTGACAGACATACATGCATACAGACATCCATACACACATACACACAGACATACGTTCATAATGATATGCAGGCATACATCCATACTGACATACAGACACACATATATAATGACATACAGACATACATATATACATACATAGACATACATACAGACGGACATACATGCATACAGACATACATACATACATACAGACATACACATACATAGACATACATGCATGCATACAGTCAGACAGAGAAACCTAGACATACACACAGACATACATACAGACACACACAGACATGCATCCATACAGACAGACATACATACATAGACATACATGCATACATAGACATACATGCATGCCTACAGACATACAGACATACACATACATACAGGCAAACATACAGACATACATGCATACAGACATACAGACAGACATGCATACAGACAGACATACACATACATACATACAGACATGCATGCATACAGACAGACATACATACACAGACAGACATACATACATAAACATACATGCATGCCTACAGACATACAGACATAGACATACATACATAGACATACATGCATACATAGACATACATGCATGCCTACAGACATACAGACATACACATACATACAGGCAAACATACAGACATACATGCAGACAGACATGCATACAGACAGACATACATACACAGACAGACATACATACATAGACATACATGCAGACAGACATACACATACAGACAGACATGCATACAGACACACACACAGCTCATTTTCCAGCCACCCTCCTGTCTCTTACCTTTTTCTTTGCGGGAGGGTGGCTGGGGATGATGGGAGTTGGCGCAGCTCCCTCTTCACTGCCTGGCTCTCCCTCTTCACTGGCGCGCGCGCTCCTCCCGCGCGGAGTGGGCTGGGAGGAAGTGACCACTTCCTCCCAGCAGCACTTGCGGCTTTTTTTTTTTTTAAAGGGGCCCGGTCGCGGCCACAGCGCTGACCGGGTCACTGAAGATATAGGGCCCATCGGGTGGCCCTAAGTGTGTGGGCCACCCGATGGGCCCCACATGTGGGGCCCGGGCGGCCGGGCCCCCCAGGGCCGCCGGGCCCGTGACAACCGTTATGGTTGTCACCCCCTGATGGCGGCCCTGGGTATCCAAGAGACCGTTGAGGTAAAGATTCAAAAGTATCACTTTGTCAGATGAGTAGTAATGAAAGGTAATCCCCATACGGCCGGTCTCTATTTCCTGTCTCACGTGTCTCGTGTCTAGTATGTGCCTGGGCTGCGCGCTCGGGACTGAAATGCCCCTTCGAAGGCCCTAGTTACAGAAGTGAAATTACTAAGTATTTATAGCAAATAATGGCAGCGACAAATGCAACTAACGACATGGCCCGCCCACAAATGTACATGCGTAATGGCGTGATGACGTCACACCGTGCGTCGTCACGTCATGCGTCGTAACATCATTAAAAACAACTTTATTGTAAAAAAACAATTTCAACTAGACTTGGAGAGTTGCATTTTGACATCCCTGATAAAAGGATTCCTAACTCATTAATAACAGGGTTAAAGTACATTATTATTAGACGAAGTGTTAATCCCATAACTAGTATCTCGAATGGATCACTGGTAGTTACATTACACAAACACAAGATGGCAGTGTGTTACTGATGTTGCTTACTAAAACAGATGTTTTCAGTGTGAATTCAGAATGAATTCCCAACATTTTACTCTTCACACCAATGGTTGCCATCAGAAATGTTGGGGCCCCTTAGAAAATCACTGGCCCCCACCCCCTCACACTCACCCTCTGTCATTCTAGTCTCATATACACAAGCTCTCACAAGTACTCTTAGAAACACATACATCCCCTCACATGCATACACCAATGCACATTCCCACGAACAAACATATACGCATCCTAAAGACACACATGCATTGTCATGCACAGACATATACCAACAATATGTAGTGATGTACAGTATTAACTGTGAGACACGGCAGTAATAAATTGCACTCACAGGATGGAAATTCAAGAAGCGCCTCAAAGCCCACAACAGGGCTACACTGTTCCGCTCTCCACCTTAGATAGTAATGGATAGTCAGCAGGCAAAGGAACTACAAAGTACGGAGTCAGGGATCAGATACAAATAGTTATTTATTAGGCACAAAACGCCTGATTAAAAATATAGTTATAACAAATACAAAATTATCTAACGCGTTTCGTCCACCACAGTGGACTTCCTCAGAGATATAAGTAGACAGCAGTAAATAGAAATATGCATAATCCCAACCCTCCCTCGGTCCCATTTAAATACACTGATCCAGTGATGCTGATTGGAGGGTTCTCCAGATGAATAAGATTCTGTGCCAATCTCATTCATTGATGAGGGGACCAACTCTCCTCATAGGTCCTCCCACTGACCTATGCATTCACAGATACACTCCACATTCACACACACTGGCAGACACACAGATACACTCTAGATTCACACACACTGGCAGACACACGGATACACTCCACGTTCACATACACTGGCAGACACACAGATACACTCCACATTCACACACACTGGCAGACACACGGATACACTCCACATTCACACACACTGGCAGACACATGGATACATTCCACATTCACACACACTGGCAGACACACAGATACACTCCACGTTCACCCACACTGGCAGATGTACAGATACACTTGCTCCAGGTACAACCACTCACTTTCAGATGCTAACATTCACTCTCAGACACACTTGCACTCCCAAACATATACACACACTCATTTCCAACACATACACACTGCCAGACACACAAATAGAAATATTTACACACATATGCTACAGGAGGTGGTTCCCATGAAGACAGTGGCAGTGGCAGGTGGTGTAGATTCCTGGCACCAGGTGGGGAGATATTTCGATACTTGTGGGCCCTCTGGCTTTAGCGGGCCCTTTACTGGAGTAATGCCTGTACCCTTCTGATGGCAGCCTTGTTTACACCTGTAAGGACTATTTACTAAAGTGAATTTCAAATTTAAGTCTAGAGTAGCTAAATTGAAAGCATAGCTGAGTTTGAGATTTTTTTCCAGTTTGGCTATCTTGACCTTACACTTGAACACATGGCAGGTAAATGAAAGGCTAGTCGCCCTAATGGCCAGAGGCGACATGGGTGTTAGCAGCATAGGGCAAGTGAAAATAAAAAGAGAGAGAGAGAGGAAATTTGCCCCTGGACAATTTTCTGCTGGATCCTGCACAATGTGGGACAAATGATATAACCCAGCGATGGCTAGCTAACCTTGACACCATAAATTGTATCTCTAATTCAAAGTAAAATGTAAATATTGGGCCAAAATAGCTGAATTGTTAAAATTTTGCTATCTTGGCCTAACATTTGGAATTCCCAAGTTATTCACATTAAATTCATGTTTTAGTGTAACCATGAGTCTTTCCCCTTTTTCCTTCTATATCTTTGTTGTCAAATCCCCTATCCCATTTTTCTTCAATTTCACAATTTTAAAATATTTTACCATCACCAGGTGGCAGTAGTGAGCTGTGTGAATCAGAAGCAGATTGATGTCAAATAAGAGATTTGGACTCGTATTAAGGCACTCCTCAGTGGGTGTCCACTAGCCCCATTAACCCATCCTACTAGGCAAACACAGGCAGGCATTCCTCTCCTAATTAACTCATTTACAGTAAAAGGACAGAGGTGAAAGGTTGCCGAAAGCCACAATGAAATGTTACATTATCTTCTCTGGAGTTGTTACCATTCTGATTTATCTTAAATATTCTGTTAATGGAAGATGGCCTTACAATGACAAACACAGATCTTTCTTGAACTCCCAACTTCAGAATGGTTTAAGGCAAGAAATTTTGAGGCGACACGAGGACCTGATTATCTTTTACAAAGCTTTATTGGAAGAATTTAGTATTAAAACATCACCGATGGAGATTGAACTGGACACAGTCAACGTGCTGGACTTCCATATTCCAACAGAAGAGAACGTTCCGCCTGGAACATTGGGTTGTGTGGACCTTCTTCATTTAACAGCAGTAGATTACATTGGGTCTGGATTCACCAAATTGGTTTTAAAGGGAACTATGTTGGATGGGAGATCAATAGCACTCAAGTATGTGCATAGTGAAGGCAATGACATAAAGCAGTGCGTAGATCTTCACAAAGACCATGTAGGTTGTCACAGGCTGGCCACTTACAAACTACAGAAAGAAGTCGCCCTTCTGCAGATCCTACGCCACCCCGGTATTATCAAGGTATGAAATTTGTTTTACACCAGCCTTGTTAATGCTCTTATGCAGTGTGCAATCGAATTTCTATCATTTCGTAGTATTATTATTTATTGCAATTATAGGGAAAAAATAAACCTTTTTTTTAAATAAATATCCCAAATAAGTGTTGGTCAAATCGGGTAGTGCCAGTTCTACCCTAGGCATGAAACCTATATCATACGTTTAGAAATTTCTAAACTTTTTATTATTTATATAGCAGAAACAGAAATAAGAAATGAAGACAGTCCAGCTCAAACAAGCTTACTTTGTGAGCTCTGCATAGGACCCAATAGTAAATAAATTCTTAAAATGGAGTACAAAGGTTCCTTTTGCCCTTACTTTTTGCGTTAAATCCTCTAATTACAAGTAAGCACACAACACACATCTTCCCAGTGTACCTAAGATTAGTGGTTGCTCTGGACTTAAGTAACAAATGTAAAGGGAAGGAGAAACAAATATATAAAACGATACGATAGTGTAGAGTGATTTATAATTAGAGAGGATTATATATATATATATATATATATTTAAAAAATAGGATATGTTGGCTACAGTATAATAAATTGGTGTAAATATGGAATTATAGACTAGGCTAGAATCATTGATGTATTAGAGAATATTGAACATCATGCATTGTATTTAATAATATCTGTAATTCTTGGAATGTAAAGGGATCTATGTAGTAAAGGAATATGACCCCTTCCCCTTAGCCAAAAGCTCTATTATTATTATTATTATTATTATTTTTGTTATAAAGCGCCAACACATTCTGCAGCGCTAGAATGGGCAAAGTTTGGAAGCAGGAGTGAGTGCCAGGACAGAATGGGTGACTGTTTTCTATGGATATGTCAGTGGGTGTCCACCGCTCCTAGGATGACAAGAAATGTAAATTTATTAAAAGGGACAGCCTAGGCACCATAGCAACTATATAGCGTCATTGTGTCTGTAATCCCAGCAGTCCTCTGGCGCCATACCTGGTAAGTAGTCAAACTGTTTTGAAATGGATTGACATTTAATTAGGTCCCACGAGTTCCTTCTGTCCAGCTTCCTTTTCTGCACTAACTATTGACCCATTCTTGGACGTAACTCATTGGCTGAGAGCTTTCAGCCAATTCATTTTATCCAAGTATGGATGATATTGGCATATCTCTTGTGGAATGGGGATCTCTAGTTTAGATAAACCAGGGGTGCCTTGGGAAAACCGTTTTGAAAAATGTTTGACTACTTACTGGGTGATGGCCGAAAGAGACTCCTGGCTCCATAACCACTACAGCATGAAGTTGTGGCTATGGTGCTTGGAGTGCTCCTTTAAGGTCAGCATAACAGTTGCAATTGCAACTACTATGCCTGGATTTGTAGCTGCTATAACTCCCATCATCCTGAGTCATCCAAAGAGAGGATAACGCCAGGTGCCAACTTCTGAAATACGAACACAGCGTATTATTTACTGGGTGTTTGATCATGACAAGAATTTTAGAAGTAAAGTGAAAAAACAAAAATCTGGATATGTGCTCATCAAAGGTAAGTAGTAAAACAGGCGCACTTCACATTTGAGGGTAAATATTTGATGAACACTTGAAGTAATGATTTTTTGCTTCTTTTTGTTCAATTCTTTCCTGTAATGTTGTGAATTGGTTTTCCAGCATTTTATGTTACATAAACTATGCTCCTACCTGTAACTTGAAAAAAAAGGTACATTTAGAGCTTCCCACAGTCTGAGGCTCGCCTTTTTCTCCCACAAATAAAGAGAGCACAGTGTAGTATAGTATAGTGCACGGTTTAGTGTAGTCTAGTATAGGACATCCAGAATCAAGGATTCGGGCTGGTTGATTGGCATGAGTCAGAGATGGAGTAACACCCTGATTAAAACTGTCAAATAAAATAAAGATGACAGTGTTTAAAGTTGAAATGTTGCATAGACCATGTGCTTGCACGATAATCATTTCAGCAAGATGAATTGGCTACAGTGACTAGAGCACGGGTGCCCAAAAGGTAGATCCCAAGATGTTGTAGAACTACAACTCCCATGATGCTTTACATGCCTTTAAAATGCATTATAATGACAAAGTATCATGGAAGCTGTAGTTAGAAAAAATCTGGTGATCTGCCTTTTGTGCACCCCTGGCATAGAGTAACCTTTCAGGTTTTATTGAAAAGAACATTCCTAATGCTTGGGCAAACTGCATGTGTATTAAAGGAACACTATAGTCACCTAAATTAATTTAGCTAAATAAAGCAGTTTTAGAGTATAGATCATCCCCATGCAATGTCACTGCTCAATTCACTGTCATTTAGGAGTTAAATGACTTTGTTTACGTTTATGCAGCCCTAGCCACACCTCCCCTGGCTATGATTGACAGAGCCTGCATGAAAAAAAAACTGGTTTCACTTTCAAACAGATGTAATTTACCTTAAATAATTGTATCTCAATCTCTAAATTGAACTTTAATCACATACAGGAGGCTCTTGCAGGATCTAGCAAGCTATTAACATAGCAGGGGATAAGAAAATCTTACTTAAACAGAACTTGCAATAAAGAAAGCCTAAATAGGGCTCTCTTTACAGGAAGTGTTTATGGAAGGCTGTGCAAGTCACATGCAGGAGGTGTGACTAGGGTTCATAAACAAAGGGATTTAACTCCTAAATGGCAGAGGATTGAGCAGTGAGGCTGCAGGGGCATGTTCTATACACCAAAACTGCTTCATTAAGCTAAAGTTGTTCAGGTGACTATAGTGTCCCTTTAAAGGTGCATACTAAGCTTGGTAACCAATGGAGTCTGTTGTAGTGGTTATGGTGTAAGGAGGCCGTGGTCTCGTCCTCCCCCAGGAAAAGAAAACTGTATGTGCAATAGTTTTATAAATGCTTACAATGCAAGTCAATGATAGTGCCACCACTATATGTGCCTGCCTGTGTTCGAATGTACTTTTTATAGTAAGCCATTGATATCTAAACCATCGCAAGGTGCCCTGATTTACTGGAATACATGTAGTCACTTCCTTCTTGTCACCAAATAAGGAATCTCATGGAAGAGAGCCTGTAAATTTGAATAATACAGTAATTTGGGGATGAGAGAGAGAGAGTGCATACATACGTACATGCGTGCATGCGTGAGTATGTGTGTCTATATATTAAAATATATTTGGAGTTTCCATTTAAATAGCCATAATTTGCGTTGAGGTTTTTTATTCCCAAGTCGACTCAAACTCTCTCACTTTTAACTGACTAGATCCTGGAAGTAATATGATGCCTATCACACCTAGTACATTTTCCAATACCAGTAACATCATCCGTCTCTGTCTGACCTGACACTTCTCCCATACTTCACACAGATACATCCCTTCCTTAGATCAACATGGATATCAAGCCTCACTTGCATGTGTTAAAAGTGACAAGTGTGACTAAACAAGGGGAATGCTGGGAACATTGGTCTTTTGGAATACAGATCAACTAAAAGTACTAAATGTAGCCATTCCTACATTCTAGATCATATATTTTTTTAAATTAATACATTTTCTCAGAATAATGTCACACCTGGTCTCCCTATGATATACGGTGCTCCACTACTGTTCTCTGCCCCATGGCTCCTTGGACACGCTTACATGCCTAAGCATGTACAAAAATAAATCTCTTTAAGTTCATGTGGTCTTGGGCATTCCTTCATTAGTGCCATGTGTGGAACTCTAGGGGTTAATCTCATTTATGTTCCACCCATTGTAAAATGCTGCAGAATTTGTTGGCATTATATTTATAACTCCGCTAGTGAAATACAGCAACATGGTACCCCCTGCATGTAACCATGGGTAGCGGTGGTGTCGTGGTTTGATTCCCCCTCCCCTTATCAAAATTGGATAATGCTTGAGTGTCGGTTCATTCAGACAGGCTTATTACTTAAAGTGTACGTTTTTCCTTTAACCAGTAACCATTTCACTGCTGGATCCACCAGCAGCCCTATTAACATAACTCTAAACTCTACTCAAAAAATGAAAAGGTTTTAAGTGCCGTTGTGATGAAAACCAGCGTTGGGTCTCCGTGTTTTAGTATTAAAACCTCTCTTTTCCCTTTCTTTCAGCTGCATGGACAATGTTACCATAACACTGTTGGCCCTGACATTAGGGTCACTGCAATGATGGAGATTGGGACGCCCATTCAAATGATTCAGCTCCTGCAAGCCCCCTGGGAAGAGAGATTTAAAGTAAGATAACATAACAATTGATTGTTTCAGTGGAATTCCAAGCTCCTGCCGTGTAAAGTACTGTAATCCTGTCGACAGTGGGAGAGTTGATGCCTGTTGCTGTTACTTCCTAATACACTGGATCCAACTCCATCTGTTACCTGGTCAATGAATCTATTATCCCACAGCATAATGGATTAGTTTAGTGTAATGCAAAAATAGCAGAAATCCAACGTCACATTTAGGAAATGTATCTTTTAAATGTACCAGTAAATCACGTTTCAGAAGATTTTTAACCTTAGATCCAGAGAAGCATTTTTAGTGTTTTTCTTTTTTTTAATTCTTAAATTTATTTTTTTAGTGACGTGTTGAATTGTACATTATTCTGTGAAGATTAACAAAATATTGAAGGGTTATACACTGAATTTATAGCAAATTAATATGCAAACGGAAAAATTAAGGCTAAAGCAACCAATTTGTGATTATAGTTGAGATTAAGAATTTCTTCAGATTTACTATGTTTATCTTAATTTAGCACTTTTGGATTTAAACTTGCTGCATGTTTTTTTTGGGGGGTTTTTTTTGTTCCTGGATGAGCAGTTTGGTAGAAGAATTCACTAAATCAAGTTTGATTGCAAATACAGAATTTACTTTCCAAAAGTATTGAATGTTTGTTCTGGCAAAAAAATTTAATAAATTTAGGCTCATAACAATTGAATTAAAGAAATGCAGTGGATTAATTAGGAGAACACAATCGAATTTGACGTTGCTCTACTCCCTATGCGTTTGGAACGGGCTTTACATGATTTAATTAGTATTGTCTTATGTGATAAATATTTATAGCTCTGGAATAGATTAATGTAACCAGTTAGAGTTTTGTTAATCTAGTTAAGTGGGAATTTATGTAATATTGTTTAGAATGTAAATTGGAAGGCAGGCCTCTTAAATCATTCTTTATAAAAAAAATTATACCTGTGAATAGTGATGTCCCGAACGGTTCGCCGAACGGTTCGCCATGGACGGCGAACATATGCGCTGTTCGGTCCGCCCCTTTTTGGCATCATTGAGTAAACTTTGAACCTATACCTCACAGTCAGCAGACACATTCTAGCCAATCAGCAGCAGACCCTCCCTCCCAGACCCTCCCACCTCTTGGACAGCTCACTAAGAATGCAGCTTCACAATGAATGTAAAATGGATGCTGTCCAGGAGGTGGCAGGGTCTGGGAGGGAGGGTCTGCTGCTGATTGGCTGGAATGTGTCTGCTGACTGTGAGGTACAGGGTCAAAGTTTACTCAATGATAACATAGGGGGCGGACCGAACAGCGCATATGTTCGCCATCCGCAGCGAACCCTTCGGCGAACCCTTCGGGACATCACTACCTGTGAACCTTTGGATTTTAGCTCCAAAACCAAGTATTTCATAAGTGTTAATCACTAGGTTTGCTTACAGAATTACTGATATATATTAAACGTAGATACAAAGCGTTAGTGCAATATTAAACGAGTGGGGTGCTAAAAAGAGTAGGGGTATTAGTTGGGTACTTACCCACCATTACATGGGCTATGGAAATCTCTCTTAGAATATAACTTACTGAATGTGGACTTTCCGTATCTTCTCTGGACAGATCTGCTTTGAACTGGTGCAGTTGTTACATTATTTGGCCAACTCACCTATGGGATCTATAGCCCTTCTCGATTTCCAGCCCCGGCAGTTTGTCTTAGTGGATGGAAGTCTCAAAGTGACAGATGTGGATGATGCCATTACCAAAGAGCTGACATGCACCCAAGATGAAGACTGTACCCTTGACTTCCCATCCAAGACATTTGTCCTCAAGTGTTCTGCAACTGGGACATGTGAAGGAATCAATGAAAAGAGGAACCTGTACAATGCATACAGGTATGTAAAACATATTTAGAAATTTCTTATATAGGACGTTAGAAATTTATTCTAGGATGTGCTTTCTAAGAAATTGCTATTTGGATAAAAAAAACATAAGCATCTTTTTGGTTTTTGTAGGACACGTTGCTAAGTAAGCATCATTCAGGTGCGAAACGCGTTTTTGTTAACTTTTTGCTATGCACCTGGAATCTCTAGTGTCCTCTCTGTATGTGTTATAATATCAAAGGATTAAAGTGAAGTCTTTTACTTTTTTGCTTATGTTTTCCTGCTTAAACATTTTTTTGCACTTGGAGTGATAGAAAAACTTTATAACAGCCACCTAGAATATCTTGACTAACCACAGAATCGAAGTTGACCCTGCTTTCAAATGATGGCAAAATAAATATTTAAAGGAATATGTTATGTGTTAAAATATTCTGTACATTTTGTACAAATGTCAGTTTTCCAAAAATATGTAGAGTACACATAACTATATGATATAAAAACATAGTACTTGTTTAATTTAACATTTTCTGGACTCAAAGGGTCATTAAAATTATCCAAAATTTAGACCATATATCCCTTACTTTCAATAAACACACGTCTTATGGTTTCAGGTTTTTCTTCACATATCTTCTTCCTCATGCTCCACCTCTAGAGCTGCAACCGCTTCTCCAGGACATCATGAATGGCACAGGTACAGAGGAAAACGTTCTTATGTGTCCCTCATGTTGCTCATTTATGGCTTACCTTGCCCATCTGCTGATAACATGTATATCTCTCTCTAGGTGACTTACGCTTCGGGATAAACGATACACTGAAGTCATTTGAAAATGTTTTGAATCTGTACAAGTCAGGAATGGATCATCACAACGAAACAGACTATCTAAAAGGTTTATTTCTTATATATTATTTATTATGTACATTATGTTTACATTGGTAGCATTATCGAATTACACTTCTGCTGCTCTAAACCAAAGACAACTTCGAGAGTCGCAGCCTATACAAGAGATCACTGAAACATGTAATTTGTTTTCCATAATTATTCTGCAGAGATACAGTGAGACTGTCAAACCATGTACTGTAACTAATTGCCCATAGTTAACAGAACATTCACCTGGTTGAAAGGTTTGTGTTTTCTATGGTAACCTGGGGAACGCACCCTAACTGTACTATAGTTAATGAAGTGATAACTTTCTGAATCAGGTCAGAAAGTGGCTTGATGATTTAGGAGGAGGTCACTGAAACACCCAGGCCAGCTGTGCAAATTGCTCATCATGCAGGGTTGAGTATAGAGTTTAATGGACAAATACGTATTTCTTTATAAAGCATTCATCTTATCAGGCTTGTTGTAATAAGGAAAACCTGGACTTCCTAGATTTGGCAAAGAAAAAATAGCACAGAAAATTTTGATCACTTTTGTTTGCATTTTCTGCAACATTTTTTTTTCTTCAATTTGATCTATATAGCAACATCTTCAATTTGATCTATATAGTCCTTGGCTCCTATTTGTTCGGTAATCTGTATCTCTTGCAAACTTCTATGTCATCATCCTGTAAAGAGTGCTACATTGGGTGCACCATTGAACCTAGCAACCAAAAGGAATACATTATCATATGATTGCCTGTGCACTCCTGCAGAAGTCTTGGTTGACCAACTCATGGGATAGGGGGATGGGAAGTAAACGAGAAACAATGCATGTACTTTAAAAAGAATTGGCTACCAACAAAGTGCTTTCAATGCTTCGCCTCTAGACTGGCAAAATCGAAATATATAAAAACGCAAAACTTTTTGAGGAGATAAAATTCCAACCCTTTGACTACCTTTAAATTACTAATTATTTATATTGTTATATACTTGTTTTCTTCTGTTGGTTGAAATAATAATTTAACATGGGAGATAGCACTGTCCTATTATGCTATGTTCATAAATTGATGTGTTTGTTTTATCCCCAGACTATCTTAGACTGGACGGTTTCCGGATAATTGACAATAATAACCATTTCAGATGCTGGCCATCCTACAATCACCTGGGCTGTCTTCTGTCTGTGCACAGCGCCGAGGAAGCGGCCGAAATTTGCAGCAATCATACCAGATGTCAAAATTTCTTTATTGGTCCACAAAGAACATGGACAGGTGAGAGTTATAACAATTATCATATGAACTCTGAATTTCGATAGTAATCTCTAATAATAAGAAAGAATAATATCAAATCAAGAGACTGAATAAACTATTCTTTTGTTTCAAAAAAAGAAAGGACAACAATGAACTGGAAGTTTTAGGACAACAATCAACCGGAAGTTTTTACAATGTTATGAACATGGTGTTAAAGATTGTTGATGATAACAGTTCGTTATCTCTTTCCTAATGTTTTCCTAACCTCTTTTGCACAAACCTTGTGGATAAATGTTATGGCTTTATCATAGGGTTGGAGTTCACTGCTTAATCCCAGGGCATATGTCACAATTTTGTTATATTATTTATATTTTAATATATATATATATATATATATATATATATATAAAATTAAAAGAAACAGTTGCTTGTTGCATAGTTGTTACTAAGGTTTGTGCTGTGTTTATTAGTTATAAAATAGGTTATAATGTCCCATAAAATATAAATGGGCAGAAGTAAACTATGTATAAGACACTTTTTTTATTTAGAAATTAAATATATCAAGAAATTTACTTTAAAAAAACCCTCACATCTTTGTTTTCTGATTGTTTGCATGGATAATTTTCAGTTCCATCCATAGAATTTCCATGTTCAGAATTGCTTGATTTATTGCGTCTGCATTTTCCAATATCTCTTGGCTCTTGAGATTGCGATCAGCCCTGTTTTTCCTAGTTATGTTTTGGGCGTACGATGGCTCGTGTAGATACATGTAAACCGGCAGTCATACATTTTGCTTATATTAAAAAAAAAAATACTTTTATTGAATGCCAACACGTAATGTGCCACAGGGCTTACGTGTTATCTCAAAATTCATTGTACACACTTTTAATCTTTAGAAAACAGTTCTGTACAGAAAACTGTTTAAATGCTTTACATATGCCTTTTGTCCCCAATGGAGAGGTTATTTAAGCTTATGAAAGAAGCTGGAAAGTTGATATGCTCAGCAAAATGTTCTGATATTAATCTTAGGGCACGCATCCATGTCTGAATGTTTATTTTTTTGCTATATCCTTGAGTATTTAAGGACAATTAGCTTAAACCAGCTGTGTCTTCTAAAAGTATTTTCCATTTTCTGAATCTAGAACAATAGATAATTATTTACACTAACCTATTAATTGCCAGATGGATGTCTGACGCGTTTCACATTAAGCTCGCCCTTTAAAGAATTACCAACGGATTAATGCAAGGACATAAAGTGTGTCTCTGAATTTTTCACATAAATGTATGAATGAACCATATGGGATTTAAATCCAACATTTAGCAATGAAAATAATGCACAAGCTGGTATCTCAGTTAAAGGAACACTATAGTCACCTAAATTACTTTAGCTAAATAAAGCAGTTTTAGTGTATAGATCATTCCACTGCAATTTCACTGCTCAATTCACTGTCATTTAGGAGTTAAAACACTTTGTTTCTGTTTATGCAGCCCTAGCCACACCTCCCCTGGCTGTGACTGACACAGCCTGCATGAAAACAAAATGGTTTCACTTTCAAACAGATGTAATTTACCTTAAATAATTGTATCTCAATCTCTAAATTGAACTTTAATCACATACAGGAGGCTCTTGCAGGGTCTAGCAAGCTATTAACATAGCAGGGGATATGGACATATTACGCAGGGCACTGCGTAATATGCTGGCGATATATAAATTGTAATAAGTATTATTATTATGCAACACCTAAACTCATAAACTCATTCTTGTTACAGGTCGACTTCTGACTTCATTCACAAGTGGCCCAGTTAAACTCGTTCCTGACGTTAACTCACAAGTCTACGTAAAAAAAAACAGTGACTCGTGACATCCAGAAAGTCCAAGAAACCCACCAAATAAATTCAATGGAAACTTGTACTGGCTGCACAAAAATTCCAGTATATTCCATTTGTAAGAAATATAATCTGTGCATGTCACAGAATGACGAATTTAGTACAAATGTTATGAACTATTATGCAGAGGAGGATTAAGATCGCACAAGGCCCTAGGCCAGTTTATCCCCCCCTTCCCCTTCATTCTTCACATAGGGAATATTAATGGGGCCAAGCACATTCTAACCTAGGCCCTAGGTGGCTGCTTAGGGGAAGTTTATGGTTAATCCTGCCCTGCTACTATCTATTAACTTAACTGCACACTGGTTTCCATTGTATAACTATCTGGGTGCTATTATCGCACATATTGCACAGTGCTATCCATTACAGTATGTACACATCATGGGTGATAGCCTTGTATTTAATTGCCTTGTAGGTAAGAAATGTACTTTCAATGAAAGACTCTATATTTTCAGAATGATTATTTATTTCTAAGTTTTTTTAAAATAAATACTTCTAATAACCAAATTGCTTTGCATTGTGTCGTATGTTAAATAAAACAAACAGAAGCAAGTTTTAATAATGCAAGTATTAGCTCGTCTTATGAATAGATTGCAACCATTTTAGCCCTCCACAGAAGTAGAGTCTTCTCCTGGATCGTTCCAGAGCCCTATTCCCTCTATGGGAAAGACTTAGGAGAGTTTTCTGTGTCTTTTGCAAGTGCCAACCTCCTCTTCCAGTCTCAGCCTCAAGTGTCTCCTTAATTGACCTCTATTGCATGACCAACCAGTCCAAAGTTCAAAGTTGAAATTCCATATTGCCCCACTGTCCTATAATGCAGATTGCAAAGCATTATGGGGTAAAGTCGCCTTTTGCAAGCTCTGTTCCCAGTTTAGTCCCAGTGCTGTAGGGCAGATATGAGCTATTGAAGGGATATTCCAAACATCATATCTTTTGCTTTTTACATATTTTACAGTGCAAGTTGTACTTCTTCCTTTGCCAGTACACATAATTATAGTAAAAGCTCACACTGTGTGGGCAACACAACCAAGTCCCCACTCCTCTTGGTTCTGCGAGGCATTTGTCTGTTTTGCCCTAAAATCATTTTGATTGTCTGTTCTACACAATTCCCACACAGATAAGTCTTTCAATCTTCTGTTTATTTAAAAATAACAATGATTAGTACATATATTATAAGTAATTATCTCGTGAATTGGCAGTCATTGTTTGCTGTGTTCTAAAGGTTCAAGATGCATTTAAAGGTTCATCAAATCATTACGTAACTATTATATGTTATACAAAGGTAAAGAGGAAAAAAAAAACTATAGAAAAACAGATCTAATTACGTCAATCAAACTGTAGATTCTTTGATTTGCATAAGCTGCTCAAAAATGGCTTGCATATTTTATTTGAACAGCTAATTTAAATGGTATTGTTTTATTTCTTACATCACTTAACAATCATTACCCATCAAAGTCTTTTATGGATTGCAACGGTCAGTATTTGTTGGAGAGATAAGCAATCTATTGACACAATCAGTTTAACGGAATGCCTTTTTAGCACAACAATGCAATATGTGGTATAGTGATGCTTCCTTGTGTGACTGTTTGGCCTATTCAAGGAATGTAGAAAAGTTCAATGTACATTAGTTCTGTTAATTTGAGATGTAAGAACAAAGGTTTCGGTGGGGTGGGGGAGCATTTAATTGTCTTAACTGACTGCCTGCTGCTTTGCATCAGATTACAGCTCATGCTGTAACAGGACATTATGTGATCACTATAGTTCTCTCCTTTGTTTTATGAGATCACACTTAAATAGTCCTTTCACTATATAAAATATCCAATCACATCTTATCTCAGCAGAAACCCTTGTGAATTAACACATGCCTAATTATTAAGCAGCATTTAGGCCTAAGGCTTTCAGATCGAGCAGAGATTAATTGGATACATTGAAAACAATGGGAAAGCCAGGAATGGCTGAGATGACCCACATCCAGAATGAAGACTGCCTCATTGGAATTCACTGCAAACAAGGAACATGCAGAGTTTTTTTTTTTTTTTTAAATACAGTATCATTTATAATGCATGCATGCATATTAACTGAGTGCTGATTTGGTATTTTGTTGACAGAAGGCTTAGACCTGTGACCTGGAAGGTATTAATTGTGTTAAAGGGATACTATAGTCACCAAAACAGCTTTAGCTCAATGAAGCAGTTTTGGTGTATAGATCATGCCCCTGCAATCTAACTGCTCAATTATCTGCCATTTAGGAGTTAAATCACTTTGTATATTAACCCTAGTCACACCTCCCTGCATGTGACTTGCACAGTCTTTCTAAACACTTCCTGTAAAGAGTCATCTAAAGTTTATCCTTCCTTTATTGCAAGTTCTGTTTAATTTAGATTTTCATATCCCCTGCTATATTAATAGCTTGCCAAACCATGCAAGAGCATCCTGTATGTGATTAAAGTTCAATTTACAGAGAAAGAGATACAATTGTTTAAGGTAAATTACATCTGATTGAAAGTGAAACCATTTTTTTTTTTTAATGCAGGCTGTGTCAATCAGAGCCAGGGGAGGTGTGACAAGGACTGCATAAACAGAAACAAAGGGATTTAACTTGTAAATGGCAGTGAATTGAGCAGTGAAACCTGAGAGGCATGATCTGTACACTAAAACTGCTTCATTAAGCTAAAGTTGTTCTGGTGACTATAAAATAGTCATAAAATAGTGTTCCTTTAAGCCATGGGTCCTCAAACTCCGGCCCCCCCAGATGTTGCTGAACTACAATCCCATGATTCTCTGGCTATCTATGTAATTCAAAGAATCATGGGAGTTGTAGTTCAGCAACATCTGGGGGGCCGGAGTTTGAGGACCCATGCTTTAAGCAATGTCCCAATACCATTTTCTTCATCTGTAAACTTTGATACAAAGTGCAAAATCTCTGGTAGTGATGTTTCCTGTTCCGTCTCTGGGGTGAGACTGTACGAATTATACATTAAATTGTCAATCCAAAGTGGATTTCAAACATAGTTGATTTGAAGAGCTGCTCCAGTTCAACTACTGTAACCTAAAATATCAACAAAAATTCACTGAAATGAAAAATCCTGTGACTTGATTTCAAATTAACTTGGTAACTTTTTGGGAATTTCTCCTTATTCTTGGGGTAATTCAGTAGGCCAGTCTCTCAAGGGTTTCCCAACACTAGGGAACAACTAAAGGCTCACCAAAGATTTAAAAAAATAAAAATAAAGTTTAGTCTTGGGTCATCTTCTTTAATCTGTGCAAGTATTTTCCCCCTTAAAATTCTCTGTGAGATCAGGGGGTGGGTGGCCAGGTTTCAATCTACCTCCCACCATCTGTTGTTGGATTACTTAGAAAATAGGAAACTGACAAACTCCTGGATAAATAATCCAAACAATAAGCTCCACCCACATTTCAAATCACATCAGTCCAACGTTTCAACACTCAACAGGAGCTTTCACCTAGGATCAAAGCTCAGAATGCAAACAAAAAAATTGAGGAAATGGATACAATTTCATGGTCTACAGAAGATCATACTTATTATCTAACGGCCCATGAGTCCTACCCATCTGCTCACATATAAATACAGTTTGATTTTTTTTTTAAAATTAAATGTCAATCTAATTCAACTTTGTGCCAAAATATTAGCAATAAATATTTTAAAACAAGCAAGGTTCCCAAGGAACCCCATTAAACAAAGAGTATCATCAACTCGCTCTCATAAACTCTATGCCCCTTAACACCTCCAAAAAAAGAGTAAGGTTCTACAGAATAACTGAAGGGCTATTTGCCAAATTTATACCCTACCACCAGCTGCCTCTCTTCTTAAAAACAAAAACCTTCTATCTCTCATCATCAATCTCTACCCTTATTCCTCCCCCTCTTCTCTTTCTATCACCAAACTTCTCCCTATCTCTCCTCACGTTATCCCTTCATCAATCCATGATCTTATCTTCATTAATGGAAAAATGTAAACTGTTTTCTATCTTCAATTCTTTCATTTCCAGTTATTAAAAAATTTTTTTTAATCAGATAAGTAACTCATGCATATTCTGAGTAATAATAATTTTGCTCACGGCATGATATGTCCTGACGCGAATTGTTTCTTGGATCCAAAAAGCTTAACATCAGATTAATTTAATTTACTGATAAATATAGCTCTATTAAAGTAATGTTCCAGCACCAGAACTACTATAGCATTTTATATTCCTGTTTTGTTTTTTTGTTTTTTTTAAAGGATCACTATAGTCACCCAGACCACTTCAGCTCAATTAGGTGGCCTGGGTGCCAGGTCCCCTAGGTTTTAGCCCTTCAGATGTAAACATAGCAGTTTCATAGAAACTGCTATGTTAACATTGCAAGGTAATCCAGCCTCTAGTGGCTGTCTTCACTGATGCTCAATGCGAAAATTGCATTGAGCACGCAGAACGTCCATTGAGAATTGCTTTCTTATGGGCGTTTTTAATGCGCGTAGCTCTGGCTGCGCATTCGGCTCCACTCGGGAGCCGACGTCAGAGGGGGAGGAGAGGTCACCAGCGCCGAGGGAGCCCGGCGCTGGATAAAGGTAAGTGGCTGAAAGGGTTTTAACTCCTTCATCCTAGCGGGAGGGGGGCCCTGAGGGTGGGGGGGACCTAAGGACTATATAGTGCCAGGAAAACAAGTTTGTTTTCCTGACACTATAGTGGTCCTTTAAAGGGACACTATAGTCACCTGAACAACTTTAGCTTAATGAAGCAGTTTTGGTGTATAGAACATGCTCCTGCAGCCTCACTGCTCAATCCTCTGCCATTTAGGAGTTAAATCCCTTTGTTTATGAACCCTAGTCACACCTCCCTGCATGTGACTTGCACAGCCTTCCATAAACACTTCCTGTAAAGAGAGCCCTATTTAGGATTTCTTTATTGCAAGTTCTGTTTAATTAAGATTTTCTTATCCCCTGCTATGTTAATAGCTTTCTAGACCCTGAAGGAGCCTCTTGTATGTGATTAAAGTTCAATTTAGAGATTGAGATACAATTATTTAAGGTAAATTACATCTGTTTGAAAGTGAAACCAGTTTTTTTTTTTTCATGCAGGCTCTGTCACTCATAGCCAGGGGAGGTGTGGCTAGGGCTGCATAAACAGAAACAAAGTGATTTAACTCCTAAATGACAGTGAATTGAGCAGTGAAATTGCAGTGGAATGATCTATACACTAAAACTGCTTTATTTAGCTAAATAAATTTAGGTGACTATAGTGTTCCTTTAAATATGTATTGCCTAGTAATACAGCTCACTAGTAACCTCTGTAAAAAGGTTATAAATGTAATGTTCTCATACAAAGCAGATATGGGAATGGTGCACCAGTGTTTTGTTTGTATATATATATATATATATATATATATATATATATATAAACATATATATACTTATCTCTATGTAAAAAGATATACAGATGTCACCGCCCTACAGAATACTTGATTACCAATAGACAGTTTAATTCAGAAATGCCATATGTCACCAGCTGCACAGGGCACTAGTTTTCTAAAGACGTTTCATTGAATTGCTTTGAGAAGTCTGTGATTAGGCAGCCACAGAAAGTCTGGGCTGGGTTAAAATAGGAGGGCTTGCAAAGGATGCAGACAAGAGATCTGCAGCTTTTGCAAACTGGTTTTATATATACTCCCAATGAAAAAAAATGCATAAATAAATACATGCATGTTTTCATTGGGTCTATATCTATTAAACAGTTATTTAAACTTTTTATTTTTTTTATTTAGGCAATTGAGTGTCCCTTTAACTGTGAAACTGGCTTAGGGACCCTTTTATTACTTTAATATAATATGTAACAAAATAAAGTAACAAAATATATGTATACTGCCTATACATAGGATGCATGATTTAACACAAACTTTACAACAAGCTTGTATCAGAAGAAATAATGAGATCAATTGATGGAGTGGGTAAGGGGTAATTAGATCTTTGAGTGGCATGTACACGTGTCGAATGAGGTCCTACTGGATCGACCTGGTAAGGCGTAGATCAGGATTGAACTATGTAGATTCAAGAACGGCTTTTGTGAATAGCTTGTTTGTCAGTAGTTGGCAGAAGGTTGTGATAGAGGTGGCTATTGGACGTTACAATTGTATTTGGAGTGGTAGGGAACTCCGAGTGAAATTAGCACATGGAAAAGGGGTAAAGTAAAGGTTACAGAGAGGATGGGTAAGTGCATAGTGGGAGGTAATTAAATGAGCAGTAGGGAATTGCATGGTTGTTAAGAGGATTGTAAACAAGCTTAAGGAATCTGAAAATTGAAAGAATAGGAGTTTGTATAGTAGCAAGGAGGTGTAAACAGACTTACTTTTATTTGACACACGATACTATAAGCGTACCTATTTTTTAATACTGAAAGGGTGACATCTAGGTACATTTAAAAAAATATAATTTATCTAACGTATCAGAGGTCAAAGAATTGTAAATAATTATTGTTTTGTACGTAGCCGAGTTGTAGAATTTTTCATATCAGCTATTTATGTCCATATTTTGCGATTCACTACAATTCAGCATTTAGTGATTAAACCCCAATTACCGGTTGCTAAACTTGGCTGCATTGTGATAATGGCGATTAAATGAATGTCATTGAATCTGCTACTTTTTCTATTCTCTTTATATATGCCTTGGTCCGTTGCCAAGCTGGCATCGGATTGAGCCAGTAAATGATGACGGTTATGTTTCTGGGATTAATTCAGTAGTTCTGGAAAAATATACACTAAATGTGATAGGTATTTTTCTAAATCAGAAAGAGATTTGTGTTCCCTGTTTTCAGCCAACAAACTAAAACTGTTGTAATACAAGAACTTTTTAAACATACGCCGTGCAAACAGATATTCAGTGGGAAACAAAACCATCCATTTGCTTATAAATGCATCCCCCAAACAAAAATGGCCAACTTTGTGTGTCTCTTTCTCTCCCCAGCCCCTTTGCATGTTGCCAGCCCCCATCCCCTTTGTATTTTTCTCCCACAACCCCTTTGTGTCCCCCCATACTCCTTTGTGTCTCACTCTAGCCCCTTTATGTGTCTCTTTGGCTCCCTACGGCCCTTTTGTGTGTCTCTTTGTCCCACTAGCCCCTCTGTGTGTCTCTTTGTCCCAACTAGGCCCTCTGTGTGTCTCTCTGTCCCCCTCAGCCCTTCTGTATGCATCTATCCTCTCCATCCCTTTTACCTTCATATAGCATGGCCGAGCGAACCACAGTAGAGGATTTTCTGTTTGCTCTACCTGGTCTGACAGGAAGTTGTTTAGTGCTCTCAACGAGCAGCAAACATCTGATAATTGATTCAATGCTTGTAAGAATATTAAATAGTTAACTTGTTTATATGTATTTTATGCTTTTATAAGGTTTATAACATGATTATTGCTGACTGAAGGAATATTGAATACTTAAAAGTCAATGTACGACAATCATATGCTGACTGTGACAGACTAAGGTATTTCTTCTATAGGATGTAAGACAATGCTAAATTTCAGGATGTCTTGCCCATTCCGATTTTAAGGATATTCTTTTCCAGACGTATGCAAAAGCTTATCTTTCCATTGTCAGAATAACGTAATACAAGGAAGTAATAAATCTTATAGTCTGTACTGTATTTGCATATACCATGGCTAATGTAAGCAAACTATGTATAAAAGCCAGCTCTGGAATACACTCATTTGAGAGTCTTGTAAAGCTGTTGTCCGTGTGTTATTGCTTACAAATGACTCTCCATCAACGTTGATTATGGTGACCGAGGGATCGAGAACCGAGGGGATTAGAGTCCATTACAACATTAACCCTTTCAGCTTGGTGTCAGAAGTGGGATAGAAGTTGGATCAGCAAAACCATTTGCGGTGAGTAGCCTTTTTGTGTCTTATTTGACGCTGATTGTCTATGACCCCCCTTTGGTTCAGTAAGACTGTATCCAGTAGATAGGAAAGGTGTAAGGACTCTAGTTATATTGAGACTATAAGAGGTCTCCGGTTTATTAGACATTTGGTCTAAATATATATAGGGGTTCTTGGTAACCCAGGTTAGTATCTAAGATAGATACAGGTTTTTGAGACCATAAGAGGTCTCCGGTTTATTATAGGGTTTTGGTAACCCAGGTTAGTATCTAAGATAGATACAGGGTATCTCAGGTAGATACAGGTTTTTGAGACCATAAGAGGTCTCCGGTTTCTATAGGTGTTCTGAGTAGCACGGTTTGTAGATCTTTAAGTATAACCCAAACTTCTCTTTCTCCCGGTCACCTTTGTTTGTCTTAAGTGTTTTTTGTGGGTGATTGTTTGTCTATATTGGGGACACACTTTGGTAAGTTAGTAGTGTCCCCACTCTGAATCAGCAGTATGGGAAATGTGAGTTCAGGTCCTGAGTGACCAATATATGTATGTATATGTGTGTGTATGTATATATGTGTATATGTATGTATATATGTGTGTGTATATGTATATGTGTATATATAAGATAGCAGTACTTTTAAACAAATGGAGGTTTTAAAAATACATAGGGATTAAGGAGAGAACGCAGGTAACTTGTTTTTCTTTGGTTTTTACCATATATTGGGGCTGATGTGTACTGTAGTCCTTGCTGCTGTCCAGTAGTGATGGGAGTGAGCGCAGGACTTATCTTTCTGCAAGATAGCAGTACTGTATATTAGAAAAGAAATGACTCATAGGTTGTACCTGATAGACCTACTTAAATCTTTTTGCTTTATTCTTTCTGTCGCATAGAAGTATAAGTTTATTACTCTGTTTTATTGTAAGTTATTTCACATGGGATCTATGTGCCTGGTATGATTGTTGCTTTAAAAATACTATAAGCCCACTACACTTATTATGAGAGTGGGATAGTGTAAATGTGTTGCATTGTTTGCATGATGAGCTCAGTATATTTTATAACTGAGACAAAAAGTCACTTCATTAGTATTTGAAAGTTAATTCCCCATATGGGATTAATTGTATAGAAACACCAATCAGCACATCTTCCCTGCCCTGTGTGTTTGTTGCAAAGGATCCATACTAAATATGATTTTTGTTTGAAAATAACAGAGCAACATTTACATTTTCAGCGGTCCAACACATGCTTCATTTTGCACTGTAAACTAACCTTTTTATTGCAACAGGTTCCTTTTAAATGATCCAGTGTAATAACTACTGCTTGTGTCTTCTATGTCTCACATTATGTGATATTTTAAATTGTGGTATATAGCCTGAATCAGACATCATGGACAAAGGTTTTTACCTGTGTTACTAAGGGCTCTTGGAGACTGACCGGTCTAAAGGTTTGCCATGCCTTTAAAACATGGTATAGTATAAATTTTTTAAGTCTCTGAGAGTTCTGAAAGATTCAGGTGAAACCATGTCTGTTTAATCTGGTCCAGATGTTTGTTCAATTTCTATAGGATTTAAATTGATGCAGCATCATCTCAGATTAGTTAATGGAAGTTTTATACAAATAGTTGAGTTATGAGCGCGCTATATAAATGGATCCTTTCTTTAAATACAATACTATAGTAGATTAAAGTAATGAAGTTAATTAAGAAAATGTATACATAAGAATCCCTAAAATAAATCTAAACTAAAATTGGTATACCTTCCAATAATATGTTCTGAATACAGCTGTTAACTGTTTATTTTGTGTAAATGGTGATTGTGATAATGTGTGATAAGTGTGCAGTTTAACTTGAAAGTGGTTTAATTTATGTTGCTGTATTGTTTTAAATTATATGTGAATCAGTTTGTCACAGTCTAGTGATACTGATAAGAATGACAGCCAAATAACCTAGCAAATAACTGTTTTATTAGTTGTTGAATACTAGCGTTTTGGCCAAGAATAGTTGGAGATTTGGAGGTGTTAGTTTAAGATTGCTTTTATATTGTGTGTATCCGTGTTTCCTAGGAGGGAGACAGAGTGTGTAGTTGTGTGCCCATAAATGTGATTTCTGTATTGGCATATCTGCTGGGTACCCATTATGTGTTTCTACAAAGATATTGCTTTGTGAGATGACGTGTAATATTACATGGGATGCTGAGTATGAGTTATATGGTTTGAAATGAATTGGTGATTATGAGCTTAGTACTTCAGTAAGATGTGCTAAAATTTGGAACAAGGTGGAAGCTGAAATGTTGGGATTATGGAAGAATAAGCAGTCTATATTCACTGCTTTGGCATTTAAGCAGGATGCAAAGGAAGAGATTGGTAATATGATTTTTGTAAAGAAATTTTACAAGTGTTGGAAGGATGAGGCAGGTTTGATGTCTGGAGATGATATAGATATCTTTAAAATACAGTCATGCCTTGGTAATATGTTGCCACAGTATTATTTGCTTGTGAAACAATTGATTTCAGACTGGGCCAATTTGGATAGCTCAGATTTTCTTACCAAGGTTATAGAAAAGGAAAATGCAGGTTGTTTTGACTTAAGAAAAGATTTAGGAAAGTAAGGTTGCTTATTATGCTCAGGGATTGCAACATATTATGTCCAGCTACACAGACTGAGAGCGAGGATGGGATGGAGCACATAAAGCCAGTGGAAGGGGTGGTCAAAGAGGGGCAAGGGGATGGAGACAGGGAAATCAGGGTTATAGGGGCAGGGGTAACCAAGGAGGAATAGACAGGAACACTTGTTTCAACTGTGGCCAATATGGCCACTGGAGGAATGAGTGTCCACACCCCAGGAAACCCCAGGAAACCCCACACACCCCCAACAACCCCACAATTCTCAAAATATGCCCGGTAGGCAAGAACAACACCAGACCCACTCCCAACACCACTGGCCAGCATATCGCTTAGTTCAGGACTTTAGAGCCCTGAATAGTTTAATTGTGCCCATTTCACCCATTGTCCCTGATGTGACATCCCTCATTACAGCCATTCCACATGATGCCACTTGCTTCACTGTCATTTGATTTAAGTAATGCATTTTTTCTATACCTATTGATCAAGAGACACAGCTACTTATGGTTTTTACTTTTGAAGGCTGTCAGTTTACCTGGACACGCTTACCCAAGGCTATGTGGATTCCCCAGCTGTTTATTCGTTGGTACTCCAACATACTCTAAAAAACATGGACCACCGGTCATGGTTCCGTCCTTTTTGCAAAATGTTGATGATTTGTTGTTATGTAGCCCTAGCTATGAGGCAAGCACTGTGGATACTGTCAGCAACTGTGGGTCACAAGGTTGTTAAACACAAAATGCAATTGTGTAAATCAAAGGTTGAATACTTAGGTTTTGTTCTGGCTTTAGGCACCAGACAATTGAGTCCAAAACGTATTGAGGTCATTCAGAGGATTCCTACACCCACTACTCGGAAGGAGTTGCTCACCTTCCTCGGCATGATTAATTACTGCCGCCAATGGATCCCTGAATGCTCCCATTATGACTCAATCCTAAGGGAGGCTGTACGTTCTGACAGCCCTGAAAATGTCTGCTGGTCACCAGACATGCTAGCTGCATATATTGCCCTTACAGTTGTTATTGTGCAAGCCCAGGCTTTAGGACTACCTGTGTATTGTAAACCATTTCATTTGTATGCTCGGGACAACTGTAAAACCATGGCCGCGGTCTGTGCACAAGAGCAAGGAGGCGGTATGCGTCCCATAGCATTCTTTTCCAAAGTAGTTCGAGCTCTGGTACAGGGTATGCCGGCGTGTCTCAGAGCATTGATAGCATGTGCAATGGCTGTTGAAACTGCTACTACTATCACACTAGGGCATCCTACAATACTTCATGCCAGTCACCAGGTTACTCAGCTGATGACAAATCTCACCACACAACACATGACAGCCCAGCGCTTCAGTGGTTATGAGATTCTTTTTTTTAATACCCAGAATCTGTCTTTTGGAATAAACAAGGTTTAGAGAAAGATCAAAATGATCTGTTCTCTAAAGAGGGGAGAATAGGCATACTTGAAGAATAGGCATACTTGAAGCAAGCTGATTTATTTTCATCAGTCAGGCACATAGCAAGCACCATTCAATTCTTCATGAATTCATTTTATATTAGGAATCTCAGGCAGCATGTACAGTCTTTTGTAAGATCGTGTGAACGCTGCTCTTTTTACACACTTACAGATTGATTTTATTCATGTATCCAAAATTGGTAACAAACAGCAATACTTACTGGTCATAGTTGCTCAGTTTAGTAGATGGCATGAGGCCTTTGTGACATCTAGGGAAGATGCTAGTGAAGTTTATTGTTACTGAAATTATTCCCAGGTATGGCTGCCCTCTGCAGATTGGCTCTGATAATGGCCCGGTTTTTGCCAGTAAGGTTGCCCAGGAACTTGCTAAATTCTTGCAAGTTACCTGGCAGTTTCATATACCCTATCATCCACAGAATACAGGGGTAGTTGAAAGGATGAATAGGACTATTAAGGAAAAGCCCAGAATTTACCCAGGAACATGGGTAAATTGGACTAGATATCTACCAGCTATTTTAGCTGAGATAAGAGTGATTCCTCACAAGGTGACTAAATTATCTCCATTTGAGATTTTGATGGGATGACCTTTTCCCACACCCTGGGCCAGGGAACTGCTTGTTATAATGTCTGGGGATTTAAAGCTAATACAAGAACAATATGTACAGGAATTGTTGATAAAACCGAATGGTATGTATGACAATGTTTCTTCGCAGTTTTCCCTTACCTTCACAGGAACCTACTCATTCATACCAGCCCGGTGACAAGGTGTATATCCGTCAGTTGAACAGGACCAAGAAAGGAGGATACCCTTTTGGACCACCTGCTACTGTGATTGCTGTACCCAGAACCGCTGTCCACAGATTCCCACGACATCTGGATTCACGCATCCCGAGTGAAGCTGTGTCCAAAGAGGGGAACCAAGGAAGACAACACCACTCCTCGCTCGGAAACAGAAGAATTTCTCCTCAGCGAAGCATCATGGTTTTCACACCATATCGTAGATTGAGAGGATCATACGTACCTGAGACCAAGATTATGTTGTGTGCTATGCTTTCTGGAGTTGTTATACTCCCTCTGATATTGTTCCTTGAATGCCATTATGAGTACAAGTCAATGGCAAGTTCTGGAAAAAGACTGACATGATGAACAATTCTTCAATACCCCCAGCCCAATTAGGCCTTAGCCCCTCATCTAGCATTCTTCACACATGCCCCCTCAAGAACCTTTCTCCACCACCTTTCTATCAGCATGCAATATGCAATCATTCATTTACTGAACGCATTTGGATGAATTGGACAAATAGTAACCCTTATAAGTACCAGTTACCCATATGAAATGTGTCTACAGCTAATGAAACCGATGCATTATGTTTGTTTAAAGGTTCACAGAAAATTGTTAGATCTTATAACGCAGAAATGTGCACAGTTAAGGTTGCATATCAATGTAAACAGACAGGCCTTATTACTTTTAATAATGATTATATAACTGGTATCATTAATTGGAGAAGGGGACAAATGTTAGTCATTATGAACGACACTACAATTGAGAACTATACACTACCTTATATTTTTACACCTTATTACTGTCCTTTATTCTCTACCATAGAACCAAAAGTCAACAACGACTCACACACACACACCTATTCCGTCCACATTTATTAATACAACTGCCTTCTTACAAGCTGTACATGTGTCATTAAAAATCACTACTCCTGTTGTAACATTATGTAATACAACAAACAAAGGCAGAAAAGGGAATGGTATGACACACTGTTAGATGGTGCTGGAACCACTATGGGTATACTAAATAGTTATAGATATGGAGACCCTCAAGAATAAGTTAAACACAGCCAGCATGCATATAGGGACTGGTTTTCATGCTAGTGCAAATTGGGCTCCAATTGTTGTTAAATCACAGGTTATAGGATTGGATTTAGATAAATCAATGTATAATTATTTAGACAATTTAACTGTTGCAACTATGAAATTCACAACAGGTCTAAGTAACTGGAGTACTTGTGCCATCAGGTATTTATGGATACAACAAGGATTGGCATTAGAAAACACACTAATGATTCCTAAACTAGAGAAGATTAGAGGGATGCTTAACCTCACAGATAATGAATGGTTACTTCTAAAACCCCAATCCACTAAATGCAATGGATGGTTAACTGGTAATGCTTCACATTTTTTCATGCTCTTGCTATTTTACATTATATCATACATCATCAAAGGATGTTAAATTAGCTTGTCAATTTAACACATTACCAGTACCAGTTTATGATCTTTTTGCTAAGAATTTAACCTGGTGGGCACCCACATATACAGGGGACTATATTTTTCCCAAAGATAACACACACAGGTAGCCACACATATCCTAAAAGGAGAACTCCTTAAGGTGAGTTCACAAATTCAGAATGATTTAGCCCATCATTGGTACGATGCTTCACTGGTTGGTCCCCTACTGGATCTCAGATAATGAAATCATTCTTCTATCATTTTGTTATTATAGTCCTGATTTTATTGTGTATGATTTTATATAACTGTCACCTTACTTGTACATTGAGGAAGTGAGTACAGAAATGAATCCATAATGCAGAACAGAAACAATTAGAAATTCTCCTCTCGCCACTGTAGGGTATCAACCCATCTTTAAACTGGGCCTTAGGAATTACCACATGGGAATCGAGGTGAAGAAATTAATGAAAGTCCCGCAGGGAGTGACTAGCACCCCTGAAAATACCATGTGGAAGTTTCTCTGTCCTGGTAAGATTTTATCGATAAGATGAGCAATTGTTTTATTGCTCAAAGAGGGGAATGTAAGAATATTAAATAGTTAACTTGTTTATATGTATTTTATGCTTTTATAAGGTTTATAACATGATTATTGCTGACTGAAGGAATATTGAATACTTAAAAGTCAATGTACGACAATCATATGCTGACTGTGACAGACTAAGGTATTTCTTCTATAGGATGTAAGACAATGCTAAATTTCAGGATGTCTTGCCCATTCCGATTTTAAGGATATTCTTTTCCAGACGTATGCAAAAGCTTATCTTTCCATTGTCAGAATAACGTAATACAAGGAAGTAATAAATCTTATAGTCTGTACTGTATTTGCATATACCATGGCTAATGTAAGCAAACTATGTATAAAAGCCAGCTCTGGAATACACTCATTTGAGAGTCTTGTAAAGCTGTTGTCCGTGTGTTATTGCTTACAAATGACTCTCCATCAACGTTGATTATGGTGACCGAGGGATCGAGAACCGAGGGGATTAGAGTCCATTACAACATTAACCCTTTCAATGCTTTCCCAAGGGAAGGCCTAATATGCGCACTGCACATGCCACACATGGGCATTAGGTTCCCCTTCGGTACTGTGTCCAGAGGAGCTGGATCAGGTGAATAAAGGTGAGTGAAGAAAATTGTTCTTTATCCATTTCAATGCCACTGAGGTGATGGGGGAGGGGCCCAGAGGAACACTTAAGTGTTTGGAATTCAACTTTGTATTTGTTGTATGCTCCGGCTGGTAAACTTAGCTAGTATCCAGGCTCGAGTCCTGCAGGAACAGAGGAAAATGTACAGGAATGCCGTTCCCATGCACTGCAGGACTTGAGTCCTGGTTTAACCCCTTAAAGGAACCCTATAGTGTTAGGAATGCAAATGTTTATTCCTAATGATATAGTGCCCTAATAGCTGTTTAGGCAGTAAAAAAGTTCTTTCACTCACCTGTTCTCCCGTACAGCACTATTTTCCATGGTGCCGCCCACACCTCCTTGGCTGAGATCATCGAGAAAAATGGTCTCAGCCAATCTAACTTATTTCTATAGGAATGCAAAATGCTACACTGCACTTATCAGATGTCCTCTATGAGACCATGCAATAGAAATAAGCCGTGCTATAAAAACATCGCCTGCAGAATGGTAATTTTTTTTTTCACTTGAAGGGTAAAAACAGGAGGGCTATAGATAGAGTCCCTTTAAAGTAATACTGCCCAGGATATCCAGGCACTATAATAACTTCAAATGAGCTGAAGTTGTTATGGTGCCCCGAGTGTTTCTTTAATGTTAGCAGTAAATATTTGAAACCAATCACTGTACAGATTAAATAGTTTCCCATGTTTTGTAGAAATAGAATAATATCAATTAAAAAAACAAGTATTAACGCGTCATCATCTATTTTGGCCTTAATTTAGTAAAGTCAGTTTTCACATTAACGCAATTCACTGCTAAGTTAATAAACGCCAGAAGAAAGAGGCAGCCATTATTATGTTGTCAGTCTTACAAGTCTGTTTAACATCTTATTCACTAAACATTTAGTTCGGTGCCAGTTTGCAAATTCTAGGACAAGACAGCTAACCTGGAAACAAATCTCCATCTTCACTATATTTCTATATAGGGTATTTAATTTTATATCCTACAATTTAGTTAACAATCCACTGGTCCATTAGCAGATAACCCACTTAATTTTTCAATGCAATAAGTGAACTCTCATTGCACCGCAGTGGATCCCCCCCCTCCTCCCCGAGGCAGCAGGCATGTTAAAAGAAACTGCAGCAAAAAATAAAACATGCAATGTACTTATAATGACCCACAGAAAATCCCCTGCGATCCAGCTGTTCTTTTTAGGAAGGTCAGAGAAAGGAATTCAGCCAAGCCTGAGGTCTGACAATTTGTAGTTCTAATTATTAACAATGCATTAATGTGATGTTTTACATTGTTTTAAAGGAACCCTCTGCTCTTCCCCTTTCCCTTGGCATTGAAAGAGTTAAATAACCTTTTCTTTTAATGTCCTGATTCCAGCGCCAATGTACCTCGGCGCTGGGTTGGGTTCCACTGCCGACAGCCAATGGGGGAACCTAATGGACAGCTCGGACATTAAGCCTTCCACATAGGAAAGCATTAAATCAATGCTTGCCTAGGGGAATTTAAAGATGTTGGACGTGTTCATGTAAAGTGTGAGAACGTCCAACTTCATTTCATGGAGTTAATTTCTGTGTCCATGCAGGAAGTGCCTCTAGTGGCTATCTGGTAGACAGCTATTAAAGGCAGTTTTAACACTGTAATGTAAAATTCAACTGCAATGTTTGTAGCTGCAGGGTTAAAGGGACTCTCCAGTGCCAGGAAAACAAACCTATTGCGCATGCACGGCCGGCGGCAGGGGAGAGCCAATGCGCATGCGCAGTAATGCTGCGCACGTGCATTAGACCTCCCCATAGGAAAGCATTGAATAATGCTTTCAATGCTTTCCTATGGGGATTTCAGCGACGCTGGAGGATGCTGAAGGACATCCAGCGACGCTATAGCACAATTTTCATGTGCTATAAACACGGAAGAGGAGTTAACCCTGCAAGGTAAATATTGCAGTTTATGAAAACTGCAATAATTACACCTGCAGGGTTAAGGGTAGTGGGATTTGGCACCCAGACCACTCCAATGGGCAGAAGTGGTCTGGGTGCCTGGAGTGTCCCTTTAAGGGGCAGGGACACAATACACCCAGACCACTGCAATGAAATGAAGTGTTCTAGGTGCCTATAGTGTCCCTCTCAATATCACAACAAACAGATCAGCAACAGGCACTGGATCATGGGGAACTGGCAAAGGGCATGGGTAATTGCTACCAAAGACCACTAGCACACAGACCTTTTGAATTGCAGCCTCACAGCTTTACTATCCTGCTGATTAAAAGCAACTGGAGGTGTGTTAGAATTTGATAACACCAGTTAGCAGGAGGCAGGGATTGTGCAGAGTCTTTGCTAGCCCAACATTGTGTCTGGTTATGCTTAGACTGATGACCTCCAACCTCAACGCTACATATGCCTGGACTGTCCCACTGTCGTATTTCCTGGGATAATATAGTATCTGTGGAGGGCTAAGCTGACTATAATGAATATGTGATATGGAGTTCTTTGCAAGAGGCTTTGGGGTAAGAGGAGAAATGGGTCTCACAGGAGTCACAATGAGGTTCAAAGTGTGCATGGCTCTCTGTGAATGCTCCACCACGCTGTGTAGGTCATACGGATGGAGGTTACAGAGTTAGATGGGGTCGCACCTTGTGCCTCAAGCAGAACCATCTAGCAAACCCCTACATTGTCTTAACAATGGAAGTAGGACTATCCGCACAAGGTGTAAAAAAGGCTAATTTACATATCCAATATCAAGCTGCCCTCAGGCCCACAATAGGCATCCAAGGTTGGACAGGTTTAAACAGATAACAAAGAAACATAAATATCTGCATTACTATGTGGTTGGGTGAGCGGAAAGGATCTATTTGTCCATCCACTCAAAAACAGTTTGTTATAAAATGGGGGGACACTCCTTGCACTATAATGTCATCAACAGGCTATTGTGGTTATGGTGGTTATGGTGGTTGGAATGTGTTTTTAAATTTTGGGTAGATGTCTCTTATTCGAGAAGTTAAAGGATCATTATAGTGTCAGGAAAACAAAGGGGTTTTCCTGACACTATAGTGCCCTGAGGGTGCCCCCAGCAGCTTACCTTAATCCAGCGCCGTCGGCACTGGTGACCTCTCCTCCCCCGTCGACGTCAGCTCCCCCGTCTGATGTCAGCGGAGCCGAATGCGCATTCAAAGTGTCCATAGGAAAGCATTTTTCAATGCTTTCCTATGGACGCTCTGCGCGATGGAGCCATAATATGCCTCCAGTGTCGCAGATGGACTCTAGTGGCTGTCCAGAAGACAGCCACTAGAGGCTGGCTTAACCCTGCAATGTAATTATAGAAGTTTCTCTGAAACTGCTATGTTTGCATCTGAAAGGTTAAAATCTGAGGGACCTGGCATCCAGACCATTTCATTGAGCTGAAGTGGTCTTGGTGTCTATAGTCCCTTTAAATATTAGTGTTGAATGTCAGGTTATTTGTAATACAGCTTTGTATTCCTGGCACTATAGTGTCCCTTTAAGGCTAACAGCAGTATATTCTGTGCAGGGGAGAACTGGCAATGTTATGGGCTAAGTACAAACAAAAATTCATTTTATTAATAAAAAATAAATACATTTATACCAACTAATTCGACAGTTCTGTACAATGAATATCAAATTATACAAGTAAGTTACTTCAGGCATATTTAGGGAAACCGGGATAAGAGGGATAGAGAAGGTGGGCATTTCATTTCACAAAATGTACAGTGCAATGCAACCAAAAACCTCAATATCAGCATTATTGTGGCATTATGTAATCTTGTCAGGGTTATTCATCAACCTCTGAATGTTACTGAATTGTACAATTTACACAAAAATAGCTGCTTTTTTAGATTCAGTTTTGTTTAAGTTATACAATTCAGATTCAATATGTTAAAATTCTGAGTTGACTGAATAATCATGAGTGTTAGTTGCACAAATGCCCGTTGATGACAAAACACAAAAGTCACAGTGCAGCCCATGAACACCTGTTTCAGTGGTGTTTGCAGATGATCTAACGTCTGCAATCATTGGGAGTTATTCACTAAATATCAAATTACAGTGAATTCGGGCAGAGCCGAGCAGCAGAACTAAGCAGTTGCATGATACTAGAGCTCCCGAGTCTTTGGCCTGAAACTAGCCTGCTTTTAGAACAAAAACCCGATTTCATGGGCTGTAGAGACACTACTGCAAGTTGGGAAGCACCATGGGTCGTAAGACCAAAAAGCAAAAATCAGATAAACCGCGGCAGGGCATGACTATCGACGAACTCTGTGACAAGCACATGGGACGGCTAGGCTTGACTACCCAAGGCCTATTCCGAACTATCTGATGATTTCTCCCTGGGTGAGGAAGCCCTTACCTGTCAGAGCACCAGCGGCACCAAACCTTCCGTCTCCAGATACGGCACCAGTGACTATTGCGATCCTCAAAGCCCTCCTAGCAGACCTCCAAAAGACCTTACAATCGGACAAGGCTTCCCTCCGCACCGAAATTCAGGGCCTGGTGGGACAAACAGAATTGCTGGAGGTAGTCTCTGATCAACACAAAATTAATAGCTTCCCTGCAACAAGAGGTCCAGGGGAACACCAGTCTGAAGCACACGAACGCCGATTTATGGCCCTGGAGGATGCATGACGCACCAACAATTTGAAAATACGAGGTGTATCTGAGGACACCCCAGTGGCAGAATTGCTGCACTTTGTACGACGGCTCCTGGTGGCGCTACTGACACCACAACAAGTCAAGGCAATCTGCCTAGATGGCCTCTTCTGGGTCCAAAAACCAGCCAGAGCCCCAGCCACGTCACCTAGAGATCTTATAATCTGTTTCCAGCAGCGGATGGATAGAACAGTGGTGCTAGCAGCTGTCAAGAACAACACACCATATGA